CTCAATCCAGCATCTTTAAGGGATCTGAAACTTTCTATTCTCTCTCTTTTAGCTCAACCCCATGACCCCAATCCCACTCCGACAGTCCCATGTTTCCCCAGTTCCCTCCAGTCCATTTTCCCACTGCTCACTGAGTTTCTGCCTCAGCTCAGATACCATCTGCGGTCCCCTATCAGATGACATCCCTCTAGGTGCCTTGAGCCTTGGGGTGATCTCTTGGGGGAGAGCCTGGGTGACTTCCCTGGCCTTGTTAGTGTGGCAGAAGAAGTTCTGGACCCCAAAAAAGGGATCCACCAACACCAGGAGATACCTGAGCCCATGTTGGTGTGGTAGCTCAGAAAATCCATTTGGCAGCAATCCCCAGGAGTGTTTCCTTTTTCAGTGATGCCTGGAGGTGGTAGTTTTGAATCCAAAGGGATTTTTTAAAACACATCGGGCATTGTTCTGTAACAGACCTGACAGTTTTGTCCTACAGTCACTTAGTATTGAATACACGCTCTCTCTCCTGTGGAAATTTAAGCAGTTTTATAAAGGATAATAGGAGATAAAGACAGTAAAGCAAATATTATGGCCAGGTTTTTGTTGGCACTCAGCCAAGAGTGCGCCTTCATCTTCAGGGATACCCCTTAACTATCTTTTCTATTCCATCCCCTCTCAGACAGAGATTCCCATCCCCAATTCCTGCTGGAAATGAAATGTGTGTGAGATTTCTCCCTCGAGAAGGGAATGCTCCCCAAGGATCCACCTTGAGGTTGAGAGAAAGAGATGTTCCCATGAGTCTTAGTGTGGGGAGTGACATCAAGCCCTGCTTAAGAATGATATCTTTCCACCAGTATCTTTCCACTAGCTTTATCATAATTATTTAATGGAATTGTTTTGATAGAAGTATTTAATAGAATTGCTTTGCACAGTGGTCTTTGTGTGCACAGCAGTCACAGTGGCTGTGGTAGCCTTGGGGCTGAGGGGTTCCTGGTGATCATGGTGGCCACGGTTGCCACAGTGGCCACAGTGCCCTCGGTGGCCTTGGTGGCCTAGAGCTCAGAGATTTGTGGTGGCCACTGCCAGGGCTGTGGTGGCCAGGAGGGGTCCTCCAAGGTGGAAGGGATGGGTAGAAGGATCCCCTGGGGATGCTTCCACATGGGGGTGAGGGCGACCAAGTGGGGAGTGAAGGGGTCAGTTATGGCAATAATGGGGGGGTTGGGGTGACAGGTGAGCTGGGGGCCATGAGGTGACAGGGTGTCTAATGGCAGCATGGGGAGATACAGGGACCAGGGAGGTCAGGGGCGTCATGGTGAGCTTAGCGGTGACAGGAGTACCAAGGGGAGTCAGGGAATGCCAAGGGGGTAACAGGGGGTGCCATGGAAGGTCCTAGCTCACCCACGTCCAGCACACAGTGCCCATCCCAACAGCACTGCCTTTGGTGGGGAGTGACAGGGTCGATATGGGGGTTCCTGTCTCTGTCCCTCTTCCTGTTGTCCAGTGATAGGGGTGACCCTATCCGTGTTCCCTCCCAGAAGGGGATGGATCCCCATCTCTGTGCCCTGTCATGCGCGTTCCTGTCCCCATGCCCACAATGGGTGTCCCCAAATTTGGTGTCCCCAGCATCTGTTGTCCCTGTCCACAAACTCTCAGTGAGTGTCTCCACCCCCTGTGCCATGTCATGGGTGTCCCCTTTACACTGTTGGTGCCCCCAGCATTGGGTATCCCTGTCCCTGTTTCCAGCTGCGGATATCCATATCCCACCACACGCAGTGGATGCCCCTGTCCCTCATCCCCAGTGAGTGTCATTGTCCCCTGTGCCTTATCATGGCTGTCCCCAAGGCCACAGTGGGTGGGTGTCCCCATCACCCCAGGCTGTCCTCTGTGCTGTCAACTCACAGCCACGCGCAGCTGTATTCGCTGAAGGTCCCAGTGAAGCGGAGACTAATCCTTGTCTTCTTCTCATTCTGGGTGACTTTGGTGACCTTGAAGGTCTCAAAGGGTGGGATCAACACCTCACGGTTGCTAGGCTAGAAGGAAAAAGCCTGGATGTCCATACTGTGGCACATGTGAACCTCAATTATGGTGTCTGTTCCGTATTTCTGGGTGGTCTCTTTGCTCAGTGACGCCGACGTGAATTGACCAAACCGGACCCTCTGACCACGCCATGCCTGGAACTGGACATCACGCACACCCAGGAATACGTGGTGACACTGCCCATTCTGAGCGTGCCTCAGCATCACCAGGTCCTCAGTCAGCAGGAAATGCAGCGTTTTGAAGTGGAATTTGTTCTGGTATTCCTGGTGGGAACGCCCAGCCACACTCACGGCCACGTTGAACTCCTTGTATAGGTACATCATTGTGTAGGCCATGACAGCAACTGCCTGCCATGGGGACACCAGAGAGGACACAGGACAGCCCCGTTTGTGCCACTCAGCATGAGCATGAAACCAGCTCCAGGCAAAGTGAGGATTCAGCTGGTACTCGGAGTTGTGGAGGGCTGGCAAGGCCACATTCATGGCGTGGCTGCAGTCCCAGTACTGGTCATCGAAGGAGTCCCGGGCCATGTCCAGGGGCACCACCTTGAGGGCCATGGTGGCCACGGTCATTGCCAGCAGTGCCAGGGTGTAAGGCAGGAGGGCCATGGCAGGGAGGAGCCACCATGAGCAGTGTGGGACACTGGGGGAAAAAGAGTGGCACACTGAGGGGACAATTGGGGCACACTGGAGTACGTGGGAAGGGTTCCTCCCTGAGGGGCTGAGGAGGGGAACTGGTTTCAACTGGGGGTGGGGGCCAGCTTCAGCTAGAAGTCCCCTGGAGACATCCTGAGATGCTGATCCCAAATCCTGGGGTCATTCCTGGACTCTCCTCAGAACCGCAGGACAACAATTCCACTCCCATGGTCCCATGTCCTCAACCCTTAGTGTCCTCCTAGAACCCCAGAAAATTATATCAAATTCTGAGGTCATTCCCTGTCCCCCCAGCAATGCCCCCCGGACCCCAATCCCACTCCCACAATGCCCCCCCCGGATCCCACTTCTATGTCCTACCCAGTGTCATTCCTTGATCCACCAGCCCCACAACCCTACTCCCAGTCCTGTGTCCCTTCCCCCAGTAGTGTCACCCAGGCCCAAACCCTGGGAACAATCCCTGACCTCTCCAGTGTCCCCTCAGTGTTCCACCAGCCCCCCCGTCCCAATCCCAGTCCTGTGTTTACCCTTCCATTTTCTCCCCAGCGCTCCCCATGATCTCAAGCCTGCACCCAATCCTCTGCAACCCTCTTGCAACACCTCTGGGACTTCACCTAAATTTCTAAAGCCACTCCCTCACCTCCCCAGTGTCCCCCAGGTCCCTCTCCCAGACCCAAAACCCGCTCCATGTCCCATTACCCATTTCATGGCACTCCAGGATCCCAACCCAAATCCAGGGGTCACCACCTGCCCCACAACATCCCCCTGGAGTGCCCCATGGCCCCTCTGCGTAATCCGAGGCTCATGTCCCCCCCTCAACTGTCACCAGTGTTCCCCAGCTGGGGAGAATAAATTCCAGCTTTCTGCTACCTCAGTTCCATCAGGGAGTTGCCCGAAATTCCAAAACCGAAGTCCACCACAGCGAACTCCCTGATGTAATTGAGGTATCAGAAAGCTAGAATTCTTTATCAGCTCAGACGCACAGCAGACGTCTCCTGGTCTTGCATGTCAGGGGGCATTTTACCATGGGGTATTTGTCCATTGTAACTATAAGTATTTATTGAAAGGGGCTTCTTAGCTAATGCAGTTACATCACTTTCTCTGGAAAAAATTGCATGGTTCTGCCTTTTTCTGGAAGTCCTTTTATAGTACTGGAGAGTCATCCAAAGGGGTTTCTGGGTGTGGTTTTCACTGAGTGCCCCAATATACTAGATGACTTTTCTTGCAACTTCTGCTTTTTGCAAGCACTGCTCCTTCTGTGGTCCAGAATTTGCAAAAGACCCTCACTGGATCTCCCTTTATCTGTTTCTGCATGGATTCCATCCACGTTCATCCTGGCTAGCCACACTTCTACATCCTTTCCTTGCTTTTGCCCATTCATCTATAAGTTCTACTCAGCACCATTAAGGAATGTGTAACTGTCTGCTCTCTCTCTTATTGCTCACCCCCCAAGACCCCAATCCCACCGTCCCGTGTTCCCCCAGTTCCTCCCAGTCCCACTCCCCATGGCTCACTGAGTTGCTGACACACCTCAGATACGAAATGGAGTCCCCTATCGGATGACATCCCTTTAGGCACCTTCAGCCTGGGGATGGTCTGTTGGGGGATGGCTTCCCTCGCCTTGTTGCTGTGGCAGGGGAAGGTCTGGACCCCAAAAAAGGGATCCACCATCACCAGGAGACACCTGAGCCTATGTTGTCATGGTAGCTCAGAAAATGCATTTGCCAGTAATCTCTGGGAGTGTTTCCTCTTTCAGTGATGCCTGGAGGTGATGGTGTTGAATTCAAAGGGCTCTTTTGAAAACATATCGGACATTGCTCTGTAACAGACATGAAAAGTTTGTCCTATGGGACACTGAGGATCTGAGGCCACAGACTGATCCCCATTGCATCGATTCCCCAGAGCATTGCTGGTGCTTTTCTCCTTTACAAATTGCAGCATCAGTTGGGGAGGGCCTGACATGGTTATTGGGAGTTACCTCTCACTCACCCACCCACCCAGCCTCTTTATTGTGGGCTTTTAGATAAGCAGCCAATTTTCAATCTGCCCAACTCTATCCAGGCCTCACTTCTAGGGCTGAAATTCCTTTCTCAGGAATTATCACCAGGATGCTTTGTTGCAGAACCTCTCGTGCAGCTTTATTGCAAGTCTATTTCGCACAGGGATACATCAATCCCCAAGCTGGTGTGCCCAGGATTGTAGTATGGCCACTTCTTTGGGCAGCTAGCTGGAATCAAGGAGGGACAATAATTTCAATAGTTTTTGTTTATATCTAATTAGAGATCCCTGTTCTGTAACTGACTTCTTTCTTTCCATATGACTCCATATGGCATGAGCAATGCTCAAAGTGAATGTCAAGTGAGTTCCTACGTTTGCATGAGACTGTGGGAGTTGAATTGGGGGATCTGGGCTGTGAGCAATAAGAGAGAGAAAGAAAGTTTCAGATCCCTCAATAGTACAAAGATTATAGATGAATGGGAAAAAGCAAGAAAAGGAGTGAGAAGTCTGGAAGCCCAGGATGAACGTGGATGGAATCCATGCAGAAACAGATAAAGGGATCTCCAGTGAGGGTCTTTTGCAAATTCTGGACCATAGAAGGAGCAGTGCCTGTAAAAAGCAGAAGTTACAGGAAAGCAGGAAAGGTCATCTGGCATATTGGGGCACTCAGTGAAAACCACCCCCATGATGACCCTCCAGGACCATAAAAGGACTTCCAGAAAAAGGCAGAACCGTGCAAATTATTTCCAGAGAAAATGATCTATCTGTATTAGCTAAGAAGCCCCTTCTAATGAATATTTATAATTGTGGTGGATAAATACCCCATGGCAAAGTCCCCCCTGAATTGCAGAACCAGGAGAGATCTGCTGGGAGTCCAAGCTGATTAAGAATTCTGGTTCTTTGTTCCCTCCAGCTCCATCTGGGAGTTCACTCCGGCTGATTTCAGGTATCTGGCGCTGGGGGACCCTGGTGACACTTGTGGGAGGGACATGGGTCTGGGATTCTGGAGTGGGGCCATGGGGGACTCCAGGGGACATTGTGGGAGCAGGGAGTGACTCCTGGATTTCGGTGGGGGTCCTGGTGTGACATGAAATGGGTAATGGGACTAGGGCCGGGACTTGTAGCAAAAAGATGGACCTGGGGGACACTGGGGCCCGTGAGGGAGTGGCTTTAAGAATTTGGGTGAAGTTCCAGAGGGGCCTGGGATTGCAAGAGGATTGCAGAGGATTGGGAACAGGCTTGAGTTCCTGGGGAGCACTGGGGGGAAAATGGAAGGGTAAACACGGGACTGGCAGCAGTTCCCCTTCTCAGGCCCTCAGGGAGGAACTTTTCCAAGTGTTGCTTTGTGCCCCAATTGTCTCCTCAGTGTGCCCCTCTTTTTCCCCCAGTGTCCCACACTGCTCGTGGTGGCCCCTTCCCACCATGGCCCTCCTGGCTCACAGCCTGGCACTGCTGGCAATGACCGTGGCCATGTGGCCTTCCTGGCTCCACCCAAGGTCTCACCCCTGGACATGGCCCGGGACTCCTTCGATGACCAGTACCAGGGCTGTGTCCCTGCCATGAATGCAAAGTTGCCGGACCTCTACAGCTTCGAGCGCCAGATGAATCTTCTCTTTGCCAGGGGCTGGTATGAGGCTCAGACTGAGTGGCAGAGGCGGGGCTCTCCTGTGTCCCCTCTGGCGTCCCCATGGCATGCCGTGGCTCTCATGGCCTACACGTCGCAGGATGTGCACAAGGAGTTCAACAAGGCCGTGCAAGTGGCGGGGCACTCCCGCCAGGAATACATTAAGCACTTCCACTTCAAAACGCTGCATTTCCTGCTGACCCAGGCACTGGTGACGCTGAGGCATGCTCAGAATGCCCAGTGTTACAATGTGTTCCGGGGCGTGCGTAATATTCGTTTCCAGGCACGGCATGGCCAGAGGGTCCGGTTTGGTCAATTCGCATCGACGTCGCTGAGCGAACCAGTTGCTCTGCAATTTGGGACAGACACAATTTTCAAAGTGCACACATGCCATGGCGCAGATATCCGTCAGTTCTCCATGTTTCCAGGGGAGGAGGAGGTGCTGATCCCGCCATACGAGACCTTTGAGGTCACCGATGTCACCCGGGATGGGAAGATGACATGGATCAGTCTCCACTCCACTGGGACCAGCAGCAAGTACAACTGCGCGTTGCTGTGAGGTGACAGCACAGGGGACAGCCTGGGGCAATGGGGACACCCACTGTGGCTCTGGGGACACCCATGATATGGCACAGGGGACAATGAGACTCACTGGGCATGGGGGACAGGAACATCCCCTGTGTTTGTGGGGGGAAGGACAGCCAGTGCTGGTGACACCAAATTTGGGGACACCCATTGTGGGCACGAGGGCAAGAACATCCATGGCAGGGCACAGGGATGGGGATTCCCAATTCTGGGAAGGGACAGGAACAGCTGGTGAGTGACCATTGGAGCTGGCCATGTGGCCTGGGGGCAGGAGGTATCCAGAGTGCACCAGGAAGAGCAGGCCCAGAAAGTCAGGCTCTGTTTGCACCCCTTTGCCTTCAGCCCCCATTTTGGCCATTCCCAACCCCCCTCACTCTCCACATGGTCTCCCATTATACCCCTCTTTGTCCCACAGATGGGAGCGTCCCCAGGATCTTCTGACCTCTAGGCCACCAAGGTCACCAAGGTCTCTGTGGTCACTGTGGCAGCCGTGGCCACCATCATCACCAAGACTCCCTCAGCTCCAAGGCTACCACAGCCACTGCAACCACTGCGCCCGCCAAGGCCTTTGTGGAAACAATTCTGTTAAATATTTCAATCATAACAATTCCATTAAATAAATCTGACAAAGCCAGCAAAACCTGAGAATTCCTAAACAGCCCACCATGACCCCGCTGACCTACCGAGCACCTCTACCCACCATAACCTCCCACCCACGACATCCTGTCACCTGTCACCTCATGGCCCCCATCTCTCCTGCCACCCCTAGCCCCCATTTTGGCCATTTCCAACCCTCACACTCCCCACATGGTCTCCCATTATACCCCTCTTTGTCCCACAGATGGGAGCGTCCCCAGGATCTTCTGACCTCTAGGCCACCAAGGTCACCAAGGTCTCTGTGGTCACTGTGGCAGCCGTGGCCACCATCATCACCAAGACTCCCTCAGCTCCAAGGCTACCACAGCCACTGCAACCACTGTGCCCGCCAAGGCCTTTGTGGAAACAATTCTGTTAAATATTTAAATCATAAGAATTCCATTAAATAAATCTGACAAAGCCAGCAAAACCTGAGAATTCCTAAACAGGGCTCAATGTCACTCCCTACACCAACACTGGTGGGAGCATCTCTTTCTCTCAGCCTCAAGGAGGACCTTGGGGAGCATCCCCTTCATGAGGGAGGAACCTGACACACATTTCATTTCCAGCACGAGCAGGGGAGAGGAATCTTTGTCTGAGAGGGGACTGGATATTCGCAGGGTCAAGTGATTACAGCCAGGCCCAGCTCTGGTGGTTTACCCTCAGTTCTCAGGTCGGGGCAGTCCCCAGTGTCTGTCCAGGCTGGGAGGAACCTGCTGGAGCAGCTCTGGAAAAGCACCTGGGGGTCCTGGTGGGTGACCATTGGAGCTGGCCATGTGACCTGGGGGCAGGAGGTATCCCGAGTGTACCAGGAAGAGCAGACCCAGAAAGTCAGGCTCTGTTTGCACCCCTTTGCCTTCCCTGTGAGGCCCATCAGGAGTGCTGTGTCTAGCTCTGTCCAGTGCTGTATCCAGTTCTGCCCAGTGCCATGTCCATTTATGAGCTGCTCTGGACCCAAGCCTTTGCTCAGCGATGACGCTGCCTGAGCTGGCAGGTTGGGCCTGGGGCCCACTCTGGGTCCTTCCAGCCCGACCCATTCTGGGATTTGGGGATTCTGGAAGTTGTGGTTTGGGAATTGTCCACCGGAGGGCAGCAGTGAGCACAGGAAATCAGCGGCACTGCGCATGCGCCGCCCCCAGCTGCAGTTCTAGGAACCAACAGCAGGCGGCAGCACGAGCTGCTGGCACTGCTGAGCGTCCGCCCCATCCCGGCCCGGGGCTCTGCAATGGTTTGGGATGGAGCGACCTTAAAGCCCGTGCGGTGCCAGCCCTGCCATGGGCAGGGACATCTTCCCCCTTGAATTGCGGAAAAGGAAATCTACTCTACAACTTTTGCAAAAGTCGTAATGCCGCTATGTTTATACAGTTCTGGTCGCATGTGGGGATCGCTCCCATCAAAAAGACGTGTACCTCTGGGAACTCCAGATCCCTTTATCTTTCTTACTAATCCGTATGCATGGGATTTCACAACAGGTTCATAAATATTCATTTTACTGATTTCACGTTACACTTGCAGCTAGTTTTTTATCAGAAAATACAGAAAGAACTCCTGGGTCATTCTGTGCTGTTTCCTGCATCCTCTCCATCTGTTTCAGAGTTCAAGGAGCCCTTCCTTATCTCTGACCTTTAGCTGAAGCAGGTTCTTAGAGCATAGTTTTTTGCGAGAACAAGCAGTCAGACCAAACAGCTATGTTTGCACACTACAGTCTTAATTCAAAGATGTACATTTCACCTAAATCAAAATGGATTTCTGCTCTGGAAAATTTCCACTCTGCCTCACCTGGTTCAGGCTGCTCCAGGCCTGTCCCAACCTGGCCTTGGACCCTTCAAGGGATGAGGCAGCCACAGCTTTGTTGTGTGATGTGTAATATGATGACTGACTCTCACAATTAAGGGATTAATATTGTGTGAGTTTTAAGAGAAGTTTTGTTGATGTACACTCATGTTAGTTTCTTGTTTGGGCACTCTCTGTTCTCCTCACAGTCCTCTTTGCCTTCCCCTCTACTGTTGCCACAGGACAGGTTTGGATATCAAGGGGTCAAGGACATGTGGAGGGAGAGCGTGTACCTGTGCCCCTTGCATGGGGCAGTTGGGAATAGGAGAAGCCTGTTACTGGGGAGGCATGGCATGGCAACATCCCACCTCCAATCAGATTGCAAGAAGGTTTCCACCAATGCACAGCAAGGAAGAGTCAACTGGGACACTTTGGGAGGGGTCAGAGATTTATAAGGAAAGTTTTTGAGTATATATGACAGCTTATGAATGTGTATTTGGCTGATTCAACACCAGGGGTATTGGCAGCCAGAGCTGCCATTTTGTGGATGAGCCACTGTCCATTGGTGAAGACCTTCTTGCAGTCTGATTGGAGGTGTTGTCATGCACTCCTGCCCACCAACAGCTTCTCCCATTCCCATCTGCCCCATAAAGGGGCTGAGGTAAACGCCCTCCCTCCACATGACCCTGACACGCTGACAACCAGGACCATACGGGGGCAGCAATTCAGAGGGGGGAAGAGAAAAGTGGAAGAACAGAGGGCGTCAGAATAACAAACGGAAATAACATAACCATACATCAACAAAACTTCTCTTAACATACACAAATATTCATGCCTTAATTGTGAGAGCCAATCATCACATTTCCAATCTATAAGAAAACTGTGGCTGCCACATCCCTTGGAAGGGTTACGGACAGAACTGGACACAGCACTCCTGACATGTCTCCCTGGGCAGGACAGAGTGGCACGGTCACTCCCTGACCTCCTGGCCCTGTTCTTCCCAATGCTCCCTGGATCCCTCCTGGCCCCAGACCACATGGCCAGCTCCACTGGTCAACCACCAACACCCTCAGGTCCTTCTTCAGAGATGCTCCAGCTGGTCCCCGCCAGCCTGGACTGGGGATTGCCGACTGTCAATCCCCAGGGACAGGACCTACCCTTGCCCTCTTCAACCTCCCATTTTCCAGCCTTTAAGGTCCTCCTGAAGTGCAGGATGTGGCAGGATGCTTTGCCTGGAATGTGCCCAAGGGTCAATGCCCCATTTGTGGCCATTGGGGCTGCATTGAGAAGGATCTGGTGCTGATTTTGGTGCTGAATTTGACTAAAACTAGCCCAAATCACCAACCTCGAAGTGAAAATTGAGGGTGAAGCATCAGTGCTGAGCCTGTCAGTCCATCACCTGACCTGGGGAACATCCAGTCCCCTCTCAGACAGAGATTCCTCTCCCCTGTTCCTGCTTGGAATGAAATGTGTGTGAGGTTCCTGCCTCCGGATGGGGATGCTCCCCAGGAGAGGAGGTTGAGAGAAAGAGAAGTTCCCATGAGTGTTGATGTGGGGAGTGACCTCGAGCTCTGTTTAAGAATTTTGATGTTTTGTGGACTGTGACAGATTTATTTAATGGAATTGTTTTGATAGAATTATTTAATAAAATGGCTTTGCACAATGGTCTTGGTGGCCACACTGGCCAGAGTAGCTGTGGTGGCCTTGTGGCCAAGGGAGTCTTGATGATCATGGTGGCCATGGCTGCCACAGTGTCCACAATGACCTTGGTGACCTTGGTGGCTTGGTGTCTCAGAGGATCCTGGTGGCCACTGCCAGGACAACGGTGGCCTGGAGGCATCCTCTGAGTTGCAAAGGGGCCATGGGGATGCTTCCACCTGGGGGACAAAGAGGTGCATAATGGAAGACCATGGGGGGAGTGAAGTGGTCGGGGATGGCCATAATGGGGTGTTAGAGGTGACAGGAGAGATGAGAGCAATGATGTCACAGGTGGCAGGGGATCAAGGGGGCCACAGGGGGGTTAGGGGCCAGGGAGGTCCAGGCATCATGGTGGCCTTAGGGGTGACAGGGGTCAGGGGTTGCAATGAGGTTGACAGGGGGTGACAGGGAGTACCAGGGATGGTCCTGCCCACCCGCATTCAGCACACAGAGTCTGTCCCAACAGCACTGCCTTTGGTGTGGAGGGACAGGATCAGTTCAGGGGTTCCCTGTCTCTGTCCCTGTCCACTCCTGGCAGTAGTGTCCCTGTCCCTTTCCAGACATAGGGGCCTCCATCCTGGTGCTCTGTCATGGGCCTTACCATCCAATAGGTATCCCTAGATTTTGTGTCCCCAGCAAGGGATGTCCCTGTCCCCAAACACTCACTGAGTGTCCTGACACCCTGTGCCCTGTCATGGGTGTCCCCTGCCTACAGCTGGCATCCCCAGCAATGCATGACACTGTCCCCCCACCTCCAGTGAGTGTCCCCAACACTGGGTATCCCTGTACTTGTCTCCAGCCGTGGGCATCCTTGTCCCCCCACCCACAGTGGTGAAGGGACAACTAGGGCACACAGGGGTACATGGGAAAGTTCCTCTTTGAGGGGCTGAGGAGGGAACCTGGTGTCAGCCTGGAGCAGAGCTGAGGGGCAGTTCAGGCCAGAAGACCCATGAACACATCCTGGAATGCTGATCCCAAATCCTGTGGTCATTGCAGATCTCTACAATGTCACTCTGACTCCCAGGACAGCAGTCCCACTCCCATGGACCCATGTCTCCTACCACTGGTTCCCCCCCAGTGGCCCCAAGGCACTTGATCAAATTCCGGGGTCACGCCCTGTCCTCCCAGTATTAGCCCTGTGAATCCCGCCTCTGTTTCCCCTCCAGTGTCATCCCTGTGCCCACCAGCCCCACAATTCCACTCTCAGCCCCATGTCCCTTCCACTTTGTGTCACCACAGCTCCTCTGCAATTCCTCTGCCCAAACCCTGGGGACAATCCCTGACCACCCCAGGGTCCCCTCAGCACTCCACCAGTGCCGAATCCCAATTCCAGTCCTGTGTTTACCCTTCTGATATCGCCCCAGCGCTCCTCTGGACCTCAGTCCTGCTCCCACACCTCTTTAGACCATTTATGAACCCAGGCCCCTCAGGAACTTCACCCAAATTCATAAAGCCACTCCCTCACCCACCCCAGTGTGCCTCTCAGCCCTCTCCCATACCCCAGTCAAGCTGCCAGTCCC